AGCCGAGCTACAGGCCAGGGGATTCCAGGCGTTTAGGTGAAGGCTTCGTTTTTGGTGTGAAAACTGAGTGTGCAAGGATGTCCTGTCCGAGGCAGCGGTTGATGGTTGATGGATCGCGCAGTTAAACGGAAGGGCGAGCTTCATGTCGGTTTTGCGTTCAGCAGGGCTAGGGTTTCAGAGTGCAATTCCTGTTAGGAATCCGGGCTGAACTTGCTTTGCTCAATTGAATAGCCATCTCACACAGCAAAACTGACAAGAAACATTTGTAGAAAGCTTGTGATATTCCTGAAGGCTATCGCATGGTCAGGGAAGGGTGATCAACTGCAACAGCTACAAGACCGTGTGAGAGCAGGATGCATTCTCACGGATGTGGAGCCCAACGTTTTAGAAGCTGCGGCCTGATTCCCAGCTGTTGTGGAGTTGAGGCGTAAGTGCTGGAGAGTTGTGGGATTGGAGTTTGGTGCTTTTGCTTAGACATTTCCATGTTCTTGTACATCCCTAGACTTTCTACAGGCCCTGCATACTTGTCTCCCAGTTTGCATAATCCCCAAGTTTGGGGACTGTGAATGCTCTTATCATACTTGTGGGCTTGACAGACACCACTGAGGCTTCTGCGCGCTTTCAGTCCACAAGCTTCAGACCCTAAACCCAAACCTTAATCCCCAAGCCTAACATCTTCCCAAACATTTTCTGAAAGCCAGCTTGCGAGGCATTAAACATACGCTATACCGGTGGTGCTGCCCGTGCTGCAAAGGCATCGCGGCTGGATGAAGGTTCAACATAGGCAGTAGTTCTTGGGCAATTTGCCCACATGTGATGCACCCCTCTCCTGAACATGTACCACACATTGCACCCATGGAATAAGGGGCAGGGTCGAACAGGAAAAATCAATCGTTGGAGAATTTGCATTAGTTGGTTTGGTTTAGGACTTTGCCACGGCGGAGCGCACGTCGCGTACACGATGAATGGCTACCAGTAGCTAACTACCAAATCCGGTACCACCTGTCCAACCTTCCCAAAGCCCGAAACTCCGAAGAACTGACTGCTTACATACGACTACAAATTTCAACACTTCCGTATACATGTCAGGAGTCCTGATTGGTAATCCAAGACCCTCATTCATGAATCCCTGCGCAACAAGAGGTTGAGTTGCTGGATTTGCGTGACCACGATGCCGTCCGGGCTGTAGCATTGGCCGGTGGAGTGTCGGCCTTTCGTCTCAGGTGTGCCCTACCCTTCACTAGTCTGAAACTACAAATAGGCAACTTCCAAAAGGTTTGTAGTCTTGAAGGGGGTTCGCTTTTCAGGTTCTCTGTTGGGTTCTTGGAGAGTATAGGTTTTTGCTTTTTTGTTGCATCCTGTCCTGCTTTTAACAAGGTTCCTTCAACCGGAAGTAGAAGCCACCTGCACAGATCCCAACAAGTGGCAATGGGTTAGTGATGGTATCTGTGGGGTTGAGGGGACTGGGTTTGCAATTGCAGGGTCAGGAGCTGTCTGCCTCTTTGCACACATTAGGCGGTGACGTAGGCATAAGCAAATCCTCAGGTGCATTGTCGCCATGCTTTTGCCACAGGTACATTCTAGACATTACATGGCATCAGCTTTCATTGCAGTAATCTCTCTACCAGCACTCTGACCAATATGCTTATGAGCAGTTCACGTGAGTAGCAACTTTGATGGGCGTTTTAAGTTTTCCTTGCTAACGAAAAGCATCTGCTGAGGTGGTCATCGCAGCAGACCTCATTTATGGCTCTGTTGCGCTGCAGGAGATTGCCTGTGCAATCCGTGCAGCCTTGCCCACTGGAGGCACCCGGGGCTGAAAGGGATTTCGGAGGGAGCTTTTGCAAAATCAAACGATTGGTGCTTGCTCTACTAGCTGCCTCACTGTAGAGATGTCATTGTTTCTGTCCTACGAGCAACGTCTCGCATATGGCAACCACGTGGAGTATGCGATCGTTCTGGGGGCTGGGGGTCTAAGGACAGGCAACCTGCAGCCAAACACTGGACCTGCGAACACCACACGCAACCGAGCACAAGTCTAGACCCCATCGAAGGATCAGCTTTGCTCCTGATGCCGCTCCACTATCGACCCGGCATGGTGCCGTGATCCTGTGAAGGGTTCGGAATTGGCTTTTAGGATTTAGGCCTCGGGCTTAAGAGGCTTAGGCTCTAGGGTGTCAGCGCATTTTTGCGCGGGGGGCTCGAACAAGAACACAAAGAAGAAGACGATATCTACGCCAAATATTATCGTTCACCATGAAGCATGAGCATGCACATTTCTCGTGGCGCAGCTCCAGGGATGAGATCTTGGCTTGAGTTCTCGATTGAGTGTGAATGCCATTCTCCAGACTTGAGGCACCTTGAGTTTTCTGATGATGCCGCCTCATTGGGCACATCAGCTTGCAAAAGCCGAATGTCACAAAAGATCAACCCATACCGCTTGCGCCTCTCTCATAGTGGTCTGCTTTTGTGCAATTAAGGGAAGATTGATTCTGTGTACATGAAGCCCTTTCAATTTGTCGAGGTCCTGCATGAAGGGGAGTCGGATGATTTCCCTCAGAGGTTGCAATCACCAACCAAAGCAGAAGGATGGCACAGACGCAGCCGTTACATACCCGTATGACGATGCATCTCACAACTACTCCATACGATGACCACTGTATACCCGGACCCTAAGAGCTGTGAAAGCACATAATACCTAAATTCGAAAAAAGATTTTGTCCATCAACTGTAGGAAGGCCAAGTACGGCATATACCCTAACTCAACCTTCTCAAGGACAAAGATGGGCTGAGCCAAGCACTGCTGGCCGCTGGTTTGGAGACCGTATCAGCTGCTTGGGACATCCAGTATCCCAGAGGTTCCGTCAGGGCTTTTTGGGTATGCTTTAGTGGTTTCGGTAGAGATTTTGGATTTCACGGCATCAACCTTTCGGGTCAGACTTTAACAAATGCTTGTGGTTGAGGGATCTGGTATCTATGAGTAAGGGTGTTCAGGGTTTGAGTGTATGTGGCTGCCACCCCAAACCCCTGCTTGAACTAGCCCCTCACAGATTTCGCCATTGTTGAAACATAGAACTGTATATGATTTTTGTACAGAGTTTCTGTGAAATGTCTTCTGAGATGGTATCCCATTCTGCAAGGTCTCCCATGCGCCTGGTTTACGAAGCATTGCCCATGTAGTACATTGCAATTCTTGCGCAGAACACTGAAGTCACAGATACCTCTTTCTGCCTCTTGCTTGGCTGCGGTTTGGGTTGGATATAGTGTTTGGTAAATTCTGAGCCCCCATTTTCCACGTTTTGGATCAAATTGCTGGTGGTCATAAGGGGCTTGTTGGCATTTAGATCATCATGCTGCCTTGTTTCGTATTGTGTTCAAGTCCAGCCTCGGTAGAAAACAGGACACAGACTCTCCTAATTGGCAGTATACAAGGCTTTTCTGCATTGAGACGCAGCCAGTTGTTCTTCAGGTCCGGCCTATTTCTGCAGAGGGTATCCATGCCGTCCTGGCTGCAGACGAGGAAAAGCGATAGTTGAGGGGGGCATATGATTTCGGGGCGAAGGTGCCGCCGACAGATGCCATAGGAATCGTTCAACAGTTTGTGGACATGGCTTACTTGATTTCAGCCCTGGCCCACACATCCCTGTTCATATACCATCCTATGCAGATGATAAGGCCCCCCAACGTCCTGAAGCTGTAAGACATGCATGCCCTCAGCCACAGTTTTTTGTCGCTTCAGCATGCCAGGATGTGGCAAATTCAGATGTGAATTATTGACATGTCTCAACTCCCATGGTAATTGCCGGGCAGCGTTACATGAGGGCGACATACGCACACACAATTTCACCAGGAGCTCCAGGAATACTTGCTTTTCGAGGCGCATGCAAGGCCTTCAGATGACCAGCAGGACTCGACATGTCAGGTCCAGGTTCTTGGGCTGCGTTCGAGGTCTTGGATGAAGAGATTTCACGGGTTCCCAATCGCCTCATGCTGCCAAACCCTTTATGGTACAGACTTCACTACTCTTAAAACTTGTGAGGTAATATGGGTCGGGGAACCTTTGAAGTTTTGGGCTTCAGCTTCATTTTACAGATGATACAAAAGGACGTAATGTCCCAATCATACTTTGCACTCTGATACACAGCATGCTAGTTTGAGTGAGTAAAGCAGTGGATTTTGTTCCCAATAAAAAGTAGTTCAATGGAAGCCCTATATAACCTCTAGTTCCTAAAGCTGACCTCACATAAACCTGGTCCCCAACTCCTGCTCCCAAGCCTCTGAGCCCTGCCCTTCAACTCACTGCTTCCTTTGCAAGCGTTAGGAAGTTGCTTGTGCGTGCGCATGTCAGCAGTGCAGGACCTCTGCAACCTCATGCAGGTGAATCTGACCATTTGAACCTCGTGATGGCTTTCGTATGTTGTGTTGAGAGGTGAATAGGAGACTCCTCCAAGCATAAAGGAAATTACATAGACTTACACTGGTTCGAGGCAATCAAACCTCCCAGCCTGTGTCACGTGCGATCTCAACGACATCCGGTCGCGCGGTGGGAGAAAGACTGATTGCTCTGCAAGCATACCTACGCTTGATAGGAGCATGCTTCCCGGGCACAAAATCTATAAGCCTAAGCTTACAATCTTGCGTAGTGTTGACTCTCCATGCAAGGTACTGTACCCTAAGGCACACTCCCAGCGCATTTGCAACAAGCATGTAATGTAGAAGTCTCGGAGTTCTATGTCCTGATAGCCTGTATGTAATTGTAGTGTAATGTAGTCACAATGAAATTTTTACTTGTAAAGGCACCGACAACGCTCTTCCAGATGCAGCCCGGTGTGGGGACAGGTCTTTTTTAGGTTGAGGGTTCAGGGTTGTTGGGCTTTCTTCAGTCACCGCTCTGGACCCCAAATCCTTAGCCTCCTGGGCCAAGGTACTTTATCCTATCTGGTGCGTATGCTTCCTCATATGAGCACAACCTCTTGTTTTCCCGGAAGCAAGCTTCTGAGGCCAGGGCTTACGAGCTGAAGAAGCGTCGTGAGGTGGCTGGGGATGGCTTGGAGAGTTCAGGGTGGGGATTGAGTAGTTCCTGTCTTGAGGTGTGCTGGTGCCTTGACGAGATTGTATGGCACTCTGTCATACCTACATACCTACATACCTACATACCTACATACCTACGTACATACATACATACATACATACATACATACATACACACATACACACATACACACATGCACCCAAACGAACATGCGCACATACATATGCAAATGCGAACATACACACATACATGCATACATGCATACATGCATGCATACATGCATACGTGTGCGCGTACATGCGTGCGTACATGCATACATGTGCACACACGTACATGCACACATGTGTACAGGCTTACCTCAAGTCAGTCAATATGTATGTACGTATATAGGAAATTGATACAGGAAACTGAATAATGGGACAGTCATTGAAAATGTAGGTATGTATGTATGTATGTATGTATGTATGTATGTATGTATGTAAGCACCTATGTACGCACGTAACAAACATGCATGTACCCATATGGTGTACGTATCTTCGCATGTTCACATCCGAATGATGTGCATATGTTCAGATGTATGCAAGTTCGTATTTCACATGCTTGCATATGTACGTATTTACATAGTCTGGACGTATGTAGGCATGTGCATATGTACATAAGTACATAAGAACGTAGGTACGTGAGTACCTTAGGAACAAGTCAGCAACCTACCTCTTTTTCCTACCTCTCCTTGCAGCCTTACGAGCTGCTGGGTTTGCCTTCCGCATGGTTCAGGGTTTGACATGTAGGTGTAAGGGTCGTTTCAGTGTGCAGGTCTCGGACATTCGTCTGGTAAGGCCTAAAAGGGTACAGGATCTTCAAAGCCCTCGTCCCCAAATACGAAAGCCTATCCTTAACCGTGGGTCTGTGAGCTGTCTTGCTGGCTTTGTTAGCCACAGCTTGTCTACACTGACTGCTTATGATCCCCTGAACTATAGCCTTCGGGTATCCCAGCGGAAAGAAGTTCTTACAACTCCAATTAAAATCAGTTACTCATTCCCCCTGTTTAACCCGAGCGCTAGGATCCCCCCAACTGGCCTGCCGTGGTTCGCGATCCCAGTTAGTTAAAGGTGAGTGGCAACTACAACTAGGGCCAGGTATTAAGTCCCATGAACCTGAGTGACCTTCACACAAAACGCCCAAAACATTGAGTCACAACTTCACACAGAGTTCACGAAAATCTGCTGGATTTCGAGGGATTGGGTATGAAGCCACCGATACCAATCCCGGTTTATCCTACAAGCCTTTGATTGCCCAAGTCCTGCGTCCTACATACCCGTCTATGCGCGCATATACTGCCAGGAGTGAATCCGGACAGTCTTGTACACTCCTTGTCAAAATGACAGCCTCGAAATGCCCCTGCGGCCACCAGGACGAGCGAAAAGCCGTAGTCCAGGAGAAGCTCTACCAGCAGTGGCGGGCAGGCAGTTCGTTTTCAGGGCCAGGAAGTGAGATACTAGCAGTGCTATTAAGAGCAGAAGAAGAGGAGAATTAGACCATGACAATTCCGCCCCCTCTTGCCTGTGACAAGTGCTTCTTAAATACTACTCATTCGACTTCTCTTCCTCCCACCTCCCACCAGAAGATTTCCCCATGCAGGACATCGGGCATTTCATGAGCGGTCATGGTAAGAATGAAAGTCACAATACCAGTAGACATGTGAGAGTTTCTCAAGATGGTCCCTAGATGTTGCTCAATGGGCTTCAGTAGGAATCCCAGAGAAATCCTCGTACGTCTGTCGCAACATGCTGTGAGAAATGTTGGTGGCGGGCGTGACTTGATAGTTGCTCGTTTACAGTAAGGGTGTGACGTCAGAAAAGCTCTATTTAGGAAGCGGGGGCTTCGAATGTAAGCTTGGGACATAGGCTAGGTAGGGACATGCTCAAGTTAAGAAAGCCATTAGGGTTGTAATCCGCAATCCCTTGTACTTGCGGTTTACGATAGCACTAGTCTTTTTGTAATGTGTATATCTTTATATTTTTACATATACATATATTGTATATACATATATGCATATATGTCTATAGATTGACAGGGTGCGGGGCGCCATATCCACCTGAACTAGACCCTGAGACCAACTGGAAATTTCATTGCTCCGCAGCATGCCCTTCATGCCAAGTCTCTGTAGTGTGGAAGGCTGAATACTCAAAGGTATTCAGCAACGTTCGTTTTTTGATTGCAGAGTTTGCTGCCCAAGAAGCTCTTCTACTTCGCAAGCCGCTAGAGCATGCACGCAGCCTTCCCCATCCAAGCTATGAGCTTGGGAAACGAAGGTCTGAAGCACACCTCTTGCCTTGTAAGGAAGAACTAGAGGAGATCGTGTAGGGATGGCGTACTAGGTTGTCCAGATGAAATTGACCATGTATCTTGATTCCGATGAAACTCTTCCACAAAACCTGTGGCTCTCGATCCTCTAGGCCTCGATGACCTCCGCACCATGGACTCCAAGATTGTGGAGCTGCAGACCATTGCAGACAGGTGGGGAAAGCGTGCTTGAGGATTTCAATTTTCAAGCTTAGGGTTTAACGGTCTGAATATTTTAGGCTGGAGTGCTATGCAGTCAAGGTCCGAGCAAGCAAGGGCAAGCATTGAGGAATTATGCTCAGAGTCAAGGGAGCAAGGTGTCGGGTTCATGATGTGGTTCCTCAAAACCACGAAAATCACAATGCTCGCAGACTTTGAGTTCAAAGCTTTAAAGTTTTAGATTTAGGGTTCGGGAGCAATTTTTCTACGAGCTGGCAACCTGCCGGGGATCAGAAGAAGCATCAGAGTAAGAAGTGTACACATCACGCAGCAGCCCCCCACAATCCTGAACATAATATTTGATATCAACCCCTCAGTCCCTTGACCCTACTCCGCTAAGCCTAGACCGTGTAAGCTTACTGGGAGCACACTGCACGGAACATCATAATGATCTCATGGACTGCAACATGCATTAGCTAAGACCCTGGGTTCAAAGAGTAGTTGATAACTCACCCCATGCGCTAAAAGGAGCGATCTGCACGACATGTAAAGCTTCTTGGCTGCGCCGAGCAGCCGTAAGCGCCTTAGACTCTAGAGCGCCAAAGTCAAAGCCTCTAGGACCCCTCAAGGCCCTCAACGCAACACTCAATATGTGTAAGCCCGAAGCCGCTCAGGGACTTCCAGCTGGATGACAAGGCGCTGCGCAAGGCGGAGGTGCGGGAATGGTATGCTCCACAAGAGTAGAGCGGGCCAGAAGCTCAATAAACAGTTGAAAGCAGCTGTTAAGAATAGCAGCCGCCCGCATAGCCTTTTTTTTGAGATTTGGTTAGAGTTCTAGTTCGGGATGATACAAGTATGCGGGTAATGTTGCGGCATATCATATTCAGAGAGAGCCAATGATAATGAGAAAGCCCACGGTGCGTTTTTAGATGTGTTTGGAGGGCTTCTTGCAGGACCTTAGCCGAATCGGGGAGTATGATTTCAAGCCATAAGCATGTTCGGAATGACGGCCGGATGTAGACCGTGCGGAACATGAAGGCCTCAATCCCAACACCTGTCTTCCAAACAGGGAGCCCTATGAAGAAGCCAATGGCGCATGGACTCTTAAGCTCCTGTGCCACTCGGCTCCTAAATTCACCCTTGGAGAGCTAGACATGGGAGCTTTCAGTGGGTAATTTGAACATGCTGATGGCGGCCAGGAGAAGGGCATCGATGACTTCTACGCCAAGCTTTGGCACGCTGCGATTGCGGGGTTGAGGGCTTCAAGCTTGTCTATTTCCAAGTTGTAATCTGGTTTGGTTGACCATTGAAGTTTCAACTCAGGGGCTGGTAGTATTCAGTGCTCTGGGGAATAGGCCCAGGCCTAGGCCTGCAGGTACTGAGCGAGTTACAGCACCTGGGGAGGCTGTAACTATGGCATGTCGATCTTGCAATCCGACATGTGGCCGTGTAGCTGCAGGTATGAGGGCTACCTTGCCAAGATCGAGCGCGAAGAGCGTGAGAAGGCGTGCCGTCGGCAAGAAGATGGAGATCCTTGCCACACCTAAACTTATGAATGCGCCCCAAATTCCAACAACTCTCCAAACTGGACTTTGGCAGTCTGAGTCCTCACGCTTGTTGAGCTCCTCTGGATTGTGGTGTTGGATGTCAGTTCCTGGAATCGTCTACATTCCTGCTCAGGACACAGGAAGTCAGACATCTTGGACTGTCTAAGTTATTGGCCCCACTGGGGTGTTGCACGTGCTTCAGAGAGCCTTGCAGAATGGATTGCGCTATGCTGAGTTAAGACAGATTCCTCAGTGCTGACTTCTGGATTTCAAGATTCTGGTCCCGGGCCATCTATCTTGTTTGTCAGAAACATGAGGCTCTTTGAGTCTCCATCCCCTGACCAGAAGCATTGAACCCTCGCAGGCTCTGAAAGAAGAGCGCAATGATGTGCCTGGGGCCCACTTGTTGCTCCGCAAAGCCCCGGTGCCGAAGCTCATTAGTGGTTTAGAAGTCTGCACCTCTACAACAGTCCACTGGTTCTAGTGTCTGATATGGACACCAGTGTTTCTCCACATTTCTTAAAGATTTAGGTGACGCCCGCCATAGACTTTGAGCTTCTTGTGGTGGCGTCCATCAAAGGGAACAGTCTCGAGAAACTGCCATATGATGTCTTCGGACCAAAGTATTTCGGACGGCATCCAGGTCTGAAATTAGATAGGTTGCAAACCCTCATGGTTCGTGTCAACGCTTGAGCCCCTCTTGGTGTTTGAAGCTTCTGGCAGTGGGCCTTCTTGCCGTGAGTAGGGACTTCTACCCAGCCTGGCCGTGGTTGGATGTGTGAGTGATTTATACCGAGCCACAGGGATGTTTCAAGGAGTGTTTAGTTGAAATGGCTCCTCTTCTTCCAGTGCAAATTGGAATCAAGATGTTTGAGACAAGTACAAGGAGACAACTGCAAACTGCCACACACCCTAAGGCCCCCAAAGTGCCCTGCACCCAGGACCACTGGCCCATTTGAACCCAGAGCCTGTACCGTCTCCCAGGCAGAAGAAAACATTAGGCATCCAGCTGGACATGAAGAAGGAACGAGCCCCGACCTTGGAGCCGTGTTTTTTTTGGGAAGTGTAAAGTGGCCAGTCCTCAACGGGAGGGTCCCTGAAAAGACAGTCAGTTTTCCATTCTAAACACCTGTGCAGCCCAGCCCCCAGACTCGACGAGATGGATCGGGTTGTCTACCTCTAGGTTCTTGGGACCATGCCTTTAATGTCTTTTCCATCATTCTGTCACCAGGCATGAAGGAGTTGGCGCCGCTAAGCAAATAGCAGAGGGATGCTGTCCACCATGCATGAGTTTTGCTAAGGCTAGGATCAAAAGGTAGCCACTCATGGAGACACAGCCCTTCAAACCTTGTCAACCCGAAGCTCCCCAAATCCTGGCACCCACAGAACCCTGAACTACAAGTCACGTAAAGAAAGCACCGCATCCTGCCGCCAAGTTGGATCAAGACAAGGAGGAAGAAGCCATAGAGGCTGGTGGGAATCTGTTGGGCCTCGCAGTTTGAAGGCTCTCGTTGTTGCCGATCTTTCCTCTTAGTCACAAGATGCTTTCCCCCATGTTGAGAAAGAAGCAGCACAGAAGGAATTCAGAAACACCACATCTGACAACCATGGCTCCAGAGTTGCTGCTATCGCTCTCGTGATGGTTCATGATCTGGGAATCTTCAAATGACGTTTTGCATATTTTGGCCGCGGACTAGTGCAGTGTTGGGGTAAGGGCGAGAAAGTATTTCGTGAGCGCATCTGCAGCATTTCTCTGAGTCAGGGTTGTTTCTCAAACTAAGCAGGCACACATGCCCTTAAAGAAATCTGCAATTTCCGATTCCTTGCTTACTGCTATTCTCCCTGCAGAGGGCAGAAGCTTCAAGTGCTCAGCAGAAGAATGCAGTACGAACATGTTTGAGTGCTTGCTTGGAGAGGGGCCAGCAGATTTGGCATCTCTCTGATGCCCGCAGCCTAGAGCTGTAAACTCCAAACTCTACACATAAACACAAAGCCCCAACACGCCAAGAATCCTAAAGAGCCACTTGAGAAGTCACATGACTTTGATCTCCAATGAGAGGCAGAGCGCATGAAGAAGCTCTGGGCGCAGCAGGAGGTTGAGGCCACTCTGACATTTGGGCGTTGAGGGTGTAAAGTTGAAGGCCTTCAATTCAAGTGGCTAGGTTTGAGAGTTGAAGGTGTAGGGTTTCGGGGTTTCAGAGTTTGGGGCTCGGTTTAGGCTTGAGGACGTGGAGCCCAAGTTTGCCATTAGCATTAGCCCTGTTTGGCTCTGCAAAATCATGTTTCTGATTTTGCCGACGGTGCCCTGCACTGCAACTTATAAGTTGCGCATGTTCTTCAAGATCAAGGCTGAAGCCCTTATGGTCGCAGCCTTGCTCTCCGGGTCCTGTACAACAGCTTCCAGTCCTTTTATTCATGATAAGCCTCAAGCCGCCCCTTTCACAAAGCCAATCCCAAGTCCCGCAAACAATCTGCACACCCCAAACCGAAAAGCCCCCAAGCCAAACGACACACCCGAAAAACCAAACTCCGAGCCTCGGAGCTAGACACTGCTCCAGGAGAAGGAAGCGGTCGTCCAATCCAGAGTTCATGCCAAAGAGGCTTGCTCCTGAGCTTTGAGGTTGGGCTTCGCTTAGGTTTTAGCTGCAAGGATTTAGGGTGTAGGGTTTACAGTTCAGCATGTCACGGCTTTAGGATGGAGGGGTTGGGTCCTCCAAAAGTCGGGGCCAGTCAGGCCTCCAACTCCTGGTAGTTCCTTAGCTTGTGCTGTTTTTAGAGTCCTTCTCCGGAGGACCAGCTTCCGACGGCATTCATGAATTCTGAGAAGTTGCTGATGGAAACATTCATGAGCGACACGCCCACAACTAAATCCCATTGCGTCGGCACAAGGGAACTTCAGGTGTTGAGAAGGACAAGGGATCCAAATCCCCAGCATTGAACCTTCAGCCATCCGAAATCCTCATCTGGCCGCACAGTCCATAGCCCACCTTCCTTCAAGATGTCATTCTGGGATACCTCCGAGTTGATGTTTGGGCGAGGAGAGACGAAAGGCGGATGAGTACATGGCCATTCAGCAGGCAATTCGTGCGTCGTACCTTTTTTGGTACGAGGGTTTGGATGTGGGTCTTCTGCTTGTTGTAATTGGTTCTGACCAGTGCCTGGAGTTTTTTTTTCCCCGTGTCTGGAGCGTAGGCTGCGCAGTAGAAACAGTTGGGCTTGAATAGCTGTTTCGAGTTTGGGATGATTGTTCCGTGTTGACAGTCTTAGTTTGGGATTTCGGGAGTTTCATTCAAATTTATCTTCTGGCTCTTTGGTCTTTGGGAGTGAGTTTGGGTGTTCCTTGGTGTTCCAGATTCAAAGGGTTTGATTCATGTTTAAGCTTTCAGGCATGAATGCCACATGCTTCTTGGATTTGAAGTGGGTTGTGCTTCTTAGAGAGACATGAGCTTCAAACCATCGTGTTCTCATTTACTCTGAAAACCTTCACCTCCACACTGTAGAGGTACTGATTATGAGCATCTTCCTTCAAAGCACCTCAGCAGCTTGTGCGAAGAGTTCCGCTGTACCCTAGCTTCCATGGAATCCGAATGTGGGCTTTCGCAAGCTGATGTTCCCTTTGAAGGGTTCATTTGGGCTACCGGCTGAAGGGAACTTTTCAAGTTCCTGTTTTGATTCAGCGGGTAGGTCGAGCATAGGTCAGGTTCGGCACCCCTTTACATCCTCACGTTTTGCATCGCCCCTATACTGGGACCGTCCAAAGACGGACCCCCATCTTCTCGAAACTCAAAGCCGAAGGCGCAAAGGGCTGAAGAGGAGCGAGTCGAGAAGGAGTTTGACAAGTCGGGCAGCCCAGTTGGCGAGTCTAGGAGAATGGGTTTAGGTTTCCGTGGTCATGGCTTCAGTTTCAAGTTTAAAGGTCAAGGTGAGGGGTCTAGGGGGTTGGGAGTAATCTTCTTGAATCCTTTTTGGTGCAATTCTGCAGAGGGACCCCCATGATCAACTCGTCGTTTCTAGATATCTCTGCCGCACCAAAGCCCAATGGGAAACCCCCATATGAGAGCTTCCAGAACTGGGGTCTCCTTTGGCCCTCACATCCTGGAACTTCCCCAAGATGCAGCAAGAGTTCTGGAAATGAGGTTTTTGAGAGTCCAGCATGTCTTTGCTGCTGAACTCTGCTGACACACCAAGAATTCCAGTTCCAAGTCTTTTTTTGTTTCTCTGCCACTTTCGTGTGGAGCTGTGCTTCAATATTTTTCAACCGCTGCTTCAACAAGGCCTGTAAAGGTGACGTGGAACGCCTGCACGAAGCCCTGATTCTAGCCTCCTGTGAGCTTATCCAACCTCGCTCTCTTCCCGAGCCTTGTGCCCTGTTTCCGCTTCCCTGAAACTGAATGTGCTGTAAACGTAGGATTTCGTGGCCGAAGCCCTATTCTAATAAAAGCCTATGCAGTCGCTTCTCTTCTGACGTTGCTTCTGTGTTGGGACATGAGGAACTTTGTCAACGGAGTCCTGGAACGAGAGCGCCAAATTGCTGAGCAGGAGGAGGCAGAAGGGCACATCGCGTACCTCTAATAGCTTTGAACCCTAAACCGTAAGCCGTGAAGTTCGAGACGTCCTGGCCGATACGTTAGGAACGAAGGAAATAAGGTATGGAAGACGGGCAAAATAGGGAGAATCGAGGAGGATCAGGTTCCCCACGTTTCCGTGAGTGTCGTTTCCTGTGGAATGTGATAAGATGCTTAGCGTGAGAGTTTAGGCTCTTGGATTTGCCGGGCCTACGGAATGGGACTAGAATTTCGGGAGCGCGATGCATGGATCAACTAAGACTGAGTTATTGTGAACGCAAGTTGGAGAAACCTACAGAAGATTGCGCTGGTGCCAGACCGGATTTGCGCGCAGTTTTTGCACTACGAACTGAAAGACTGGCTTCATAACCTATACAATTATCCAAGCACGGTGTATCTCGTGAAACGTAGTGAGGTCTTTGGCGGTGCTTCAGGTGTTGCAAAATCTAAGGCTACAGCCGTTGTAGCAATGACGGTGTTGTTTAAATGCTCATTTTTTCTAGCTAGCGTGGTTGACAGAAGCGAGGCTTGCAATAGGTCAGAGGTTCAGAGTTCAGAGTCTGTGGTTTTCAGGTTAAGGTTGGGTTCCAGTAAGATATCTGGAGACATAGATTCCCTGCGCAGCATCCCAAAGCATAGACTATGGAAAACATCTTACTACCTTTTAGAATCCTACCGACATCGCAAGCTCTGAATGATGAACCATCGAGAGTTTGGGTATGGGCCGAGCTGCTGGGGGGCAGGCTGAGAAGCTCAAGGCGAAGAGGAAGGCCATGGAGCCTGGACCACAGCTTCTTTAAACTTGCTTTTGGGTTCCAGATGCAAAGATAGAAGCGGCTTTTGTTCTTTTGGAACAGATGTTCGCATTCCTTTTGAAGGAAGGTATCTTCTAGTCCGTAGCCAGCTCGCAGATGGCATTTCATGTACAGGTTTTTGAGATTGGCTCCTGTTGTGATCTTCAAACGCAAGGGCAAATCTTAATGGCATTGGTATAGCAGGCTTTGTGGAACTCCACTTCTGAGGTGCTGTGTCTAGATCCAGCGAAAAGAAGTCTTTCACTGTGAGATTCGACAGTCTCCTCACGGAGTGGTTGTCACGTGTATACACTTGCAAGGCTCCTTCACATGTTCTCTCGTGTGTTTGAGCCTATTTGTTGCTATCCAGACTGGCGCAGTTGGACCACCTGCTAGTGCTGAAGCTCTTTGGGAGAGCGTCGCAACCTGGAATTGATACTCGGTCATCGCAACCGACACTGTCGATCCTCCTCTCGATCCTTGTTTTCCTTTTTGCGTGTGAGCTCAGCTCAAGCTCAAGTGTGTCTGACTCCTTCTCGTCAGGTGCTTCAGCCCTCAGTAGCCCTTCCTTCACATGTGTCGCTGTGTGCACCAAAATCCAAAAACCCAAGCCTTGAATCTTTTGAGACTTGCTATCTGCTGCCCCCCCCCCCTTCCCTTTTTCGAGACGGATGCGACAGCTGAAGCCCGAACGTCTTGAGGCCCATGACCTGAGAGCCCTTACACTGACACCACTTAGACCCTACCATGGCTAAAAGCCTCAAGCTCCAACATGCCAAAAACCCAGGAAGTGATCTACTATCAGGAGCCCATTAGTTCCATTTCCAAGATATGAATAAGATCTGGATCTGAGGTTTCAATTTTACACCAACCCTGATCCAACTTCAACTGGAGCTGCAGATGTCTCCGCTAGGTTTACTGAAGCTCTCAAGCTCGAGATGGCGCGAAAGGTGCGCGGGCAAGCGTGAGTGGAGTTGAAAAGGGAAGTAGGGTGTGTACGCACGGTATATATAGGGCTATAGAGGTTTCATTCATGTAGGCAGCATACGCTTCTTCGGAAGCTGATTTAGGTACTCATGTCGCTGTTTTCTGACCATCTAGAAGACCGTCCCTTCGACCGTCAGATCTAGCGCAGGTCCAGCAGATGGTTGTAAAATTCTTTGCAGTCCCAGGCACGGATCACATACTACCCCACCCTGGACCCCCGGCAAACTCCTGAGCCCTAAATCCCAAAGCATCCGCCGCCTTGCCACACACTGTGTCGTAGTGCATGTTTCAGTGCTCCTCAAGTCCCAGGGTCGGTAACATAAATCCCCTTCTGCTTATCTGTTAAAAATCTCCTGGTCGTTCAGGTAGGCACTTCTGAACACCAGGTTCCCTTCATCTATATACATATGTATATATATAATATATGTATGTATAAACATGTAAATTCCATAGCAGTCTCTCTTATGAACTCTAAGAACCCTAGAGGGGGCCCTCGCCTCCAAGTACATCTTCAGCGCGATGCCTAGCAGGCAGCTAGCGAGGAGGAGCTTTTGCGCTTGCAAGATGAAGAGCTTGGGGCCCAGCCTAAACAACCATCAACCCCCTATATAATCCCTATAATATTGTAGTTTCCCATTATTCCCATATAACCCTAGCTTGGGGTTCAGGGGGCCCAGGGCGGCGAGGTCCCGAGCAGAAGTCTTATAGCAGTGTGGGCCCAGAAAAGGGGATATAGGTCCCCATTGAAGTAATACAGTAATATTGGATTGTATTGGGACAGGGGATATATGGGGGTAATGGAAAAGAAAAGGGAAACGAATTATTGTAGGGTTATAGAGGTAGTATATAGGAATTTTATACGGGTTGCGATGTAAGTCAAGGGTTGAAGCATTTTGCTTGCTGCAAGACTGTAGCTCATGTCAAGAAGTGGAGGTCCTATGCAGTGCGGCCCGGACAAATTTCAGGGCTTGTTAGTGCTACCACCGGCATGGTACTCTTCTCCGGGTCTGCTGTTTTGCTAGCACTGTCTCCTCCGTGGTCCTTGCAACTACCTTGCCTGAATTTCTGAAAGGTTTTCCCGAGAAAACTTCAACATTGTAGTTGTCATTTAATTGGTAATCCAAAGCCGTAAGACTTAGACACTAAACCGTTTGCATTTTAGACTGCTGTGTCGAAAGCCGCAGGCAGGCTGCATTGTTCAGTTGTTTGATTGGGCTGGGGTGTGGGAGTGTGGGGTTGGAGGCTTTCCGTGTTTGCTGTCGATTCTTCTAATTAGAAACCTTTTAAGCAGCTAGAGGAGGACTCGGTAAGAAACAATGCTTTAGCCCTGAACCCTCGACCTCAAACCCAGCCAAACAAATTTTCTGATGCTTGCTATGATGCACTATGGTCGAATCAATCATGTTGTTCGGGCTCGGATGATACCACCCAAGCAGTTCACTATTAGTGATTTCTCTACGCCAAAGCATTTGGTCATGCTTGCCGTCGGCAATTATGAAATGCAATGGTTTTCTGTTGCTCATTTCCTTTGACGGCGATGACGTTCCTGTTTTATGATTCAAATTTGGGAGCATCATGGTCATGGTGATTCTGGTTGAAACTATTTGTAACATCATGTGCTGCTTTATCGTTGTGAGGTCCGAGCGCCAGTGGCAGAAGCGCTACGCTCAGTGGGAGAAGGAAGAGCTGGCCCGCCCGGAAACCCAGGAGAAATGCGTACCTTCTCAGCATCGGGTACAAGTAGAGCAGGCATCAAATCAACGCAGAGCAAGAGGTCCCAAGAGCGATGCCGGGGCATTGAAGTCATTGAAGATTGTCTGAGATTTTTATGGTCTCAGGACCTTCAGGCTGCTCATCTTGCAGTGATGGGAACGATCGGGGTCTCTCTGAGGGATTACAAAACATGCAAGGGGTATTTTGAGAAACTCCGAAACTTGTGATGGCTTGGGGGCCTTGGTGGTTGGTTTGAGCAGACAATTTTGTTCTCATAAGGATTTTGCGCGCTGATCTGGAGAATCTCAGCATTTCACATTTGAATAGGTGCGCAAGGTCGAGTTTGGGTTGGAGGTATGACATCAACTCAGGATTCTTGAGCTTGGCAAGCCCTTTCTCTTGCAGTCTACTTTTGAGCTGCGGCTGTGGCTTCGGAAATGCTTCTCTGCTGTGTCAAAGCGCTTTTATTGAGGCCACTCCGGTCATGAAATTCATTTCTTCACTTTCCTGCAATCTCTAGGGTTTCCAATCGCCGGCCGTTGTGCAGGCTATGGCGGAGTTGTTCCGTTTACCCCTTCCTTCATCTTGCTTCTTCGTCCTAAGTCAAGATGGCAACGATGATGCCTGACGTCATCTGCAAGCAGTTTCCGCTATCATTGTGCGGCACCACATGGTCTGTTACGGGTTTGTGTGCCTTTCGTCACCCCCAGATAGTGCCAACTTGAGGAACCTGTAGAAGACAACTGCAACCTCTGCCACCGTACTCTCGAAGCCAAAAACCAAAAGCCTCACCAAGGCCGCTCTCTCATGGAGGAGGTCTACCATGATCGTGCTGAGCAAGTGAAGTGGCAATGGCATGTTGCTGCAGTTGTATCAAGGGAAAGAGAAAGTTCTTCCCCCGGCTTGCAGGGAATGATCGGTATGCTATGTACATGCTGCGGGTGTGCAGACTCACAATATCGCATACGGTCCGTGCTTGAATCCCCAGGCTTCAAGCCGCACTCAAGTCAACGTACATCTTCAGCATCCAGCCCTGAGCTATAGGCCTCTCAACCTCGAGGGTTTCTCAAACTGTATGAACCGCAACTGTCGAAGAGTCCCCGGCGCTGCCTGGATCCCGCCCTAAACCCCAACTCCTGAAGCCTAACATGCAAATCCCGAGGCCCTAAATCTTGAAGCTTTCAAACCCCCAAACCCTAATCCTTGAATTCTGATGGAGCTTTGCGCTGGCAAACCCCCAAACCCTAATCCTTGAATTCTGATGGAGCTTTGCGCTGGCCAGGTTGAAACATCAGCTCCGAGAGCAGGTCAAGGCAGACATTGAGAAGGAGCCAGGAACCCAACCTCCCAGAGCTAAAGAGTCAATGGCTTTAGGGTTTGGGGTCTGTTTGGTGGTTCTGGGTTGGCAGTCTAGGGTTTTGGGTTTTCCCTGTTCTGGATAATGTCCTGACAGGCTTGCAAATTTTTGAGTTTTGAAGGTAAAGCTAGCAAAGGACAATGACTGGTGCATTTGGGGGGGCCTTAAATGTTTGGAAAAAGAAATCGTGATCAGATCTTACAAACACCCTCCGCAAGAGATGAGATCTCTTGTCATTTCATGACACAGCTGTCCCCCACCTCCCTGCCAAAAAGGAAGAGCCAGTTTAGAGAAACATCATGGTATGAGCACTGTTTTGGATGGTGATGACATTTAGTCGGTGGATCGCCTCTTATGTTCGAGAAGGGCTGGCCGTTACAGACCGCAAATCAAGGCTCCTTCCACCTCCTCAGTTATTCAGGCTAAATGACGCCCAATTTGAAGGTGGATCTTTTGGACATTCCTAACTTTAATTCCTAAAGCAACATATACCTTAGAAGCTTGAAATCATCCTGAAATCCCTACAGGCCTACCCCTTGGAAGCTTCAGGACCTTACATCCCAAACCCGTTGACCGCTTAAGGTAGTAGCTCCTGTACAAGTCCGTTTCATTTCCATGTTCGATTCTCGATTAGGCGAAATTATCCAGGCCCCCCGCGGTACCCCACCCCGCGATGCTTCAAAGATGCTTTTTCAAGGCGAGGCCAGATTGAGCAGGAGATGCTTCGCCTGGAGGAGATCGAGAAGCAGCGTAGGGGGCCTGGGATTTAGGGTTGAAGGGTTCAGGATGTAGGGTTTATACAGACGGTTGGTTTAGGATTAAGGGTTTGGGATTCATTGGGGTCCAGAGTAATTGAGTTTAGGGTAGATTTTGGTTTAGTGTTTATGTCTTAGGGTTCGATGTGATGTGGCACTGAAGCAGTGATTGTCAGGCCACAAGCGCTTCTCGAGCGCATCGAATCATGCAAAATGCATGGCCTGATGATGGCTGACGCTACATGCGGCTGCCAATCCTTCTAGGGTCTAGGACCTAAACCTCATTGGGTACATCTTGGTCATCAATACGCATACATCTCTGCAACCGAAGTTCCTTAGAGGCCTTCAGAGGCATCCACGAAGCCCAACATTCTTGCGTGTGGAGAGGCCTCTGGCTGAAGAGGTTCTTCAGATTTTGATTTCCGAGGCCCAGGATGTTCTAAAACCCCTGCAAACCCTGACAAGAGCGAGCGGCAGTGGCAGTGTCGGTGGCGGTCGTAGGGCCTGGGGTCCAAGGTTTAAGGTTCATCTGCTCGCAGCACCGGGCACATGTGCCCGGAAGTGTCCCAGGCACGTGCCGCGGACACAACTGTCCTCGTCCCAACGCTTTGGGTTGAGGGTAATGGACCCAATCACCGGTTGTGGTTTCGAGGAGAACTCCTTCATGTACCCAGCTTCAGATCAATGTGCTGCTCCAATGGCTGTGGGGAGGCAGTGCGGCCATCGACGAACGTAGATGAACTTGGTGGTTTCAAATGGTTTTGGGTTTGTTGGGGCTGAGGGTTCTCAGGGTTCTCAGGGGAGCCCCTATTGCGACGTACAGTTGCTGAGATGTAGGGGGCTGGTGTCTGGATTTCAGGGATTAGCCGTTGAGGGAATGGAAAGCCAGGGGCTCGGCATTAGTATTTGGGATGCCAGCATAAGGGTTCAGGATGTTGGGTTTTTTTGAGCTGCTCCAATGAAAACTGTAGATTTTGTCATCCAAACATTGCACGCAAGCTTTTTTTTTTTTTCCCGACCTTAGTTTATGGTACCATCTCAAACGAAGAAAAAGGGTCCCAAGCCAACCTGCTCGAGTTCTGTACCTGCAGCACGCAAGAAGACACTGCTCAGGTGAGTCCAGATATTTTGATTCTCAGCCGTGCAAGGCTACAAAACCTTCCTGATCCCGAGCCCTGAACGCACGAGCCAAAGTTGGGGGCCCCACGTTTACTTTCCTCGTAGACTGTGGTTGAAGTCTTTCTGCTTGCGCAGAGCTCATGAGATCCATGGTGAACTTTGCAGTAGATGCTCAGGTGAGGAGGGCGAGAAGTTGGTGTCTTTGAGGCACCAGGAGGAGCTCTTCCGCCAGATGGACTTCCACCAGGCCATGTTAAGGTGTTGTGTTTGGCAACGGAACCTTTTGAATTCAAGGTCTTCGGATTGTTTTGTTGGGTCGCAAACATGTGGAGGCAACTCCTTGTGCTTAGCTGTCGTATGGGGTTCGGGCCTTTGGGGGGCAGGGCTTTGGGTTGCAAGGGTTTATTTTTTCAGGGTGTAGGGAACTGGAGCAGCTCTTCAAAGCTTCTGCGCAAATAGGCGTCGTGTTTAAATGTGGTGAAGCATCATCCCGCTTAGGTATATGTTTGTTCGAGCTGCAACAGCTTGCAAGGTTGCAAGGGCTCGCGTGCCCCTGCATCTACACGGACATGGCCTAGATCAATCCCTTTCTTGCGAAGCTTCCCGGCAAAACTTGACATGTGGTTTACGTAGCTATAACTACTCATCAGAGCCGAAGTCCAAACTAAAGCCTGAAATCCTACAGCATAAATAAACCTTCAACCCGAACCTCGGACCTTCCCCCAACAATTATAAAAGCCAAAGTTTCTCCAGCCTGTACTCAAACACTGAAACTCCCTTGAGCCCTTTTAGTTTGGGAAGGTGCAGCGCCACCGCCAGCTCCAGCAGCATGCCATTGAGCAGCGTCAGGCCTTTGCTTCGTGTGCCTACTTTTTGGGGGTTCAAGGTTTAAAGTGTAAGCGTTCAGCGTGCAGGGCTGTTTAGCTTAGTGCCTAGGGTTTAGAGTTTGGAGCTTAAGTTTGAGATGATTTCTGGGCAGCTTTGGGAGCTTTGTTAGATAGATTATGGGTGAAGAGTTCAGGGGCTCCTTAGGCATCTCAGTCAGGTCACTGGCCAGTTAGCCATAGTTGCAAGCCCGACGCTTTCCCAGTCAGAGAATTGCCGGCGCCTCTCTACAAATGGCAGGATCCATTTTCTAGAATCTAGAAAGTAGATTTTCCTGGGTAGCCATAGTCATGTTTTAAGCCTGAAAAACTAGCAAATAGATCCTGCGCATTTCCTTTCAGTAGTGTCGTAGATCCTGAGAGAAGTGTGCGTACTTGCAACTGCCGAGTTGGGCCAGGGACGCTCCAGAACAAGCCTAAAGTCTGCAGTCCGCACACTGAAAGGACATTAAGGAACACGGGGCAATCTGTGCAACGTGGGAGCTGTTGAAATTGTGAATGTAAACCCTCAACTTCCAAACCCGAAGCCCTACACCTTGAGTCCCTAAACCTTACACCCTAGATCCCTTAGGCATAATCCAAGACGCAGAACTCCCAACCCTCAACCTTGACTGTGAACTGCTGTTGTGACGAATATATGGCTATTAACATATGTACGTTGATTGTTAATACTGTCATTTTTACTTTACTTTCCCTGTTTCTACTGCCTGATTCTCTCCTCCCACTGTCATCATTGCAACTCCCATCATTCTTCTTAATGCAACTAATCTAACCCCCTTGAGGCGGCTATTGCGGAGGAGAAGATTCGTCGCGTCTGGAGCTTTGGAGATTGGCTGAGGTTGTAACCAACCGCTGGAAGGATTCGAAACAAGTAAAATCATGCAGAATTCACAAGCTTTTCTGTTGAAGTTGTTGTGCAGGCTTTTGATGGGTTTTGGGTCTCAGCCTGAACCCATAAGTAGCATTCTGAGGCCGTGGAGCAGGAGAAGAAGAAGGCGAACGCCATCATGACAGAGGCAAGCATTCTGCAGGTTTAAGGGTTGGGAGTGTGGGCTTGTGGTCGGTGTTTTGCTTTTAAGGTATTGTAGACCTCGAAACTTGAAGGAATACTTCAACATTCAAGGGATTTTGAGGGTTCAAAGCCATCATGTTGGCTGTTCTGAAGATCCAAGTTCCTGTAGACAGCGTTTTGCACGGAATGGCTTTGTGAAGGATGTTAGTGTGCCTGTGGTTACGCCTGAAAGCTTCAATTCTGAGACCCATACTTCCAGCCTGAGAGCCCCCACGTGAAGCTCACCCTGCCCGTCGAGTAGCACAGTTTCTTTCATTGATGGACTAACGTGAACCTGAGAGCCATATCAGACGGTGGGAGTTCTGGAGATTGAGAGTTTTCGCGGTGGGAAGAGTGTTGACAGATGACCAAACTGCGCTATCCAGAGTTCACTGAATCCTGATGATCACAGCGATTCAGGTATCCCAATCACTCCAAGAATCATTCTCAAGTCCGCCTTTGCTTTCCTGAGCGTGGCCTATATGATCCGTACCAGTCCCCGGGTAATCTCATAAGCCTGCAGCGTAGGTGTTTAGGGCCATATCATCCCTACTAAACCCCACAATTTCAGAAAGTTGCAGGGAGTCACCACACTCATTCCGTTCCCGAAACACGTGCACACACATTCTAGAATCCCGGCGTAATCCTTCAAGAATTCCTTTGACAATTGAAACATGAATTCCCTATCAACAGACTCTCGACATTGTTCCCTTATCCTTGGAAAGGTCATGGAGAAGCGGCAGGCGGCCGCTGCAGCGAAGCTGGTCAAGGCTCCCTGGGACAGGCCGCCGAGGGCTGGGGAGGGGAACAAGAAGGGGTGTTTTTGGGTTTAGGGCTTCAAGAGCTACAGAATCCTGAGTCATCCTAGCAGGTGGACCCATGATTAAGGACTTCCTTAGATCTTCCTAAGGCCTGCTCAAGGGTTCCTAAGGTCCCGTATGGTTTCCTTCTATGGAGAACCCTGTACATGGAGTACCCTTACCTGTAGGACTTCCCTTAGATTAAAAGAGGTCTTGGTTCTTTTTATACCCATGTTTATGCACACGTGTGCATATGTTCGCGATAACACACCACCACCAGGATTTGTTGCATCGACTAGGCTGGCTGGTTTGGGGTTGAGTGTCTTGTTTTTTGGGTTGTATCTAGCGGTTCAGCGGTGGGGTGTTTGTAGACTTGAAAGTGTTGAATCCTAGGGTTCAGCTTGGAGCTAGTGGAGGGAAGTAGAGGTGCTGGGCTGCCATTAGGTTGCCTGGATGTTGTAGCTCTTGGGGCTCTGAGGGATTTTGGGGAGGAAGGGGCAAGGGCGGGGAAGAGTCTGGGAAGAAAGTACCCTCAGCATTATCACTACAAATCTCTGCGCCTCAAACCTTAAACTGGCAGTCCTATGCGCTTGCTTAGAAAGTGTGGTTTGGAGCTTTGAAGCCCTTAGCCCAGCAAATTAACCCCCAACGAATTCAGAGACTGAAGCAGCGTTCCGAAACTCGTGGGTGCCATGTAGAAACCTGTAAATGGAGGAACCTCCAACAAGCGGCAGTTAGAGTGGAGTTCAGAGTCGACTTTAAACAACCACAGCAGGTAAATAGCTGGACAAGGGGACAGCCGTCGATGGGTCCCTGCCTCAGCTTCTGTCCAAGGAAGTGGTTGAAGCTCAAGGTTGGAAATCTCCCCATTAGATGGACAGGAGTTGAGCAGTCGACTGAAGCAAAACAAAAGAACTGATAAATCGGGCTAAGCCCTGAAATCTGAAAACCTGGACAATTAAAAGATACACAAAGAGCCTCCTGGTAAGCAGAATTTTGTGGTTACTAGGGGGTAGAATCACTCTCCAATAATCAACCACTTTCCCTTTCCAGACTTCTCATCAAGTGCTCTTTGGTGTTTCCAATGGTTCCAAGAAGTACCAACCTTCAAAGAGCTAGAGCTAACGGATCAGCCTGGGATTTGTCGTGGAAGGCACTAGGGTGTGGGTCAGCTTTTTCTCTACCTTTGGTTCGGCTTTTGTCCAGGCCGGCTTTTATGGAGCTTTTGTCCAGCTACTGTTCTCCTGCAGTTTTCAGCGGTTTCCTTTTTAGCAGCTTGTATCAAGTGTTGTTCAGCCGCCTGGTCTTGCCTTCTTCAAATATTTCTGAGGAAAAACAACAAAGTGAGGGACAGCAGACAAAGCTAAAGCAAACCTCAACATGCCTAAGCACATGTCGCAAATCACACGCTAAGCTGCGAAACTTTACCTGTTTTTGCTGGCAGCCTGGTTGAGCCGTTTTGGAAGCTTGCTCTTGACATTTTCAGTTTTGTAATTTGCATGCAAGCATGTCTTTTCCTGCTCCAACGGCGGGGGTCCCCTCTTGGGATCTTGAATCTAAGAGCAGCATGAAGACCTTCACCCAACCTTCCAGGAAATGGTATGCTCCCCCATCCCTCTTTCTCAGTGCAGAATTCGGGCCAAACTGAGGGTGCATTAAGGGTGATTTGGGCATTGTTTTTTGGGGTAGGTGCATGAAGTGAACCTTGCATGCAAATTCTAGGCAGCTGCAGTGAGCTGGTTTCACAAGTGCAGTGAGCGAAGCAACACTGCGTTTCCTTTGGCCAGGCTCCTATCAGATAGTCTGGCCTCCCGAGCTAGCTTTCTAAACTTGAAGGGCGACATCTACTGGAAGCACGTGGCAATATACGGATTATGAGAAGGACTTTAGCATTGAGCATTTAGGGTGATGTTTTGGATTGGGATTTGCTCTCATTGAGAGAATGTTTGCAAACAAACAAGAATCCCCGAGAAACTAGACCTACGTGCAGTTTGCAGTAGTTTCCGTGAAGGCTGCATACGACAAATCATCACCACCCACGCAGCCGAATGCATCTAGCTTTGTGCCTCTCTCTTTTTGGGATCCTTGTCATTTTTGTCTGAGGGCCTGTCCCACCAACTGACCTGAGCAACCTGTCAGAGATTTGACTGAGAGGGATATTTACAACGCATCAGGGGTAAGAATGTGGTTCCTTTGGCGGACCCGTTTGCCTTGCTAATCTTCTTCCGAAATTGCAGTATCTTTAGGCATTCTGGTTGCATCAACATGTAAAAGGATTCCCCACCAAAGTCACGAAGAGACCTCCCTTCGGGGATGGAGAAAAAGGGGGAGCTTGGCCGTGGAGTGCAAAGCCGCACGCGCTCTGCTCTCTGAAGATTGGCATGGAGGTTCAAGGGCGTTTGGGATGTAGTGGTATAGAAAACCTGGCCGTAGAAGGTTGGGGTGGGCAATGTGGGCTCCGAGGATTCGTTAAGCATTCGTGCGGGGATGAGATTTTCTGGGTCAGGATTCTTATGCAGGGCTTCAACATTTACTCAGCATTGAGGCTTGCCAGATGGTGTTTGCAGGTTTTGCAGCTTGCGCTTCTGAGATCTTGGTTTAAATTCCCGAGCCGCAGAGCTGTGAATTTCCGCCTTCCCGAGCATTCGTCACTAGGAGTTGCCATGATGCTGAATCCATAAAGTGCGAATTGGCCTCTGTGCTTGCAGCGTTTCACCCGCAATTGCCTGAATCTCTCACTGCTGTGTTCCTGGGCACAAAATTTGCAGGCTCTGAGGATTAGGGTCTTGCGCTACAGGGGTGTAGGGCCAACAATTGCTTCCTCTTGTCAGCAGTTTCAGTTTGAGGTCGGAAACAGGGAGGGGAGTTGCGACAACTTCCAAAGGTCGATCATGGCATTCAGACGCTAGCTGGCAATGCAAAGCTACCCACTGTAAGGGAAAAGGCTTCAGAGAAGAGTTTGACTTTTGAGATGCCTGGTATGTTGGATGGTTCCACGATTCCAGGTTGTGCGGAGCGTCTTCTCATGTGGCCCACAGCTCGACACCGTAAATCTTGTAGCAAAATGGTGATGTCTTGGATCCCAGATTGTCGCTCGCAGGCTGTTCAGATTCCAATGAGGTTTATGTCAAGGAGCGTTTCAGCATGCCAAGAGGGTCTTTACAGCTAAAGTGTTTTGAGACCCTAGACAATGGTACTTGGCTTTCAGCGCAATACCCAGACCCGCACCCTTCTGAAATTAGATAGAAATTGCGCTGGATAGCACTTGGTAGTGTTGCGGCCCTGTATGAGGGGTGCTTCATGCGAGTTCATAAATTGTTTTCCACAAGCCAGATATTTGCTATGACTTCTGCCCACCATTTTGTCAGGCTCTGCACTTTCGGCCTTGAGGCCTTGACCCAGAATGACGACCTTCTCATATAGGACAACACTCAAGCCATAGCCGTGTAATATCTCATAGCCAAGCTGTGATCAATAGTGTAGCTTGCACGGCTGCTTCATCATATCCACATCCTTAACAAGCCTCGTTTTCCCGCGCCAGTCCGCCAGCAAGCGTTCTTGTAGTCAGCCTTTGCTTGCCCCTTCGTGCCCCGCGGGTTCAGCCCTTGCAGAGAGGCTTGGAGTTGGTGCTTGTGTCGGTCCCTCTGATTCTCCAAGAAGGATGCCAGGTTTAGGGCTTACCATCGTCTGCCGAGGCAGTTCTCGCTCAGGTACAGCGTCTGTTGTTTTGTGGAGGTTGATGACCTACGATTTTGTAAGTCATTGTGTTCTGTGCAAGGGGATTCAAATCACAAAGCTGACGCGGCATCTGAATCCTGGAGACCGACGGCCTAAATGCCAAGCCTGGTGGAGGCACGTTGATGTGGCTGGAAGCCTAAACCACACCCAGCGTGAGGCATGGCGATGTTGCTGGAGCTCCCAGTGCATGACCTAGAGGCTGGAAGCAAGCAGCTTCTGCAATCTGCTGACAACAAGAGTGGCCTATCAGCCGGCTCTACCGCCCATCTGACGCTCAAAATGCAGAATCCCTAGGGCTAATGGGGCTCAATGTCTTTGGATGCTGTTTTTGGTGCTTTCCTGCTGGGCTGCCGTAAGCTCTTGCCGGCGCAATTATGTTTATGATCCAGTAGTGTGACAAATACCCTTCCAGTATACGGCCTCAAAGGCAGCTCAAAGGCCGACCACTTCAAACCGAAGAGGCACAAGGCATAAGGCAAGAAAAGCCCCAAACCGTAAGCCCTAACAGCCTCCTTGAACACCTGAGGAAGAAGATTCTGCGGCTCCGGGATCATGGGAGACATCTGCTGCTGGGCCGCAATGGCTGCGGCAAGACGACGCTTCTGCGGGCCGTGGCCGATACAACTCCCCCAATCCTTAAGTCCCTGTCCAGCCCATCTAGCTCTATGTAAGTCTGTGTAACATTGGTGAAGCCTTGTGTAGGTCTGATGAAATCCCTGAAGGCCATTGCCTCTGGCGAGCTGCCTGGCTGGCCCAGGGGTCTCAGCACCTACCTCGCAGCGTGCTGGTGTTTCAGAACATTGTTAGGGTTCGGGTCTAGGGCTTTGGGGTTTGAATAAGGATTAGGGTTCAGGATTTATGGCTTTGTGTTTAGGATATAGCGTTCAGTTTGGAGTTTAGAGTTTGGGACTTAGTGCAAGTTATGGTGGGTTCTGCAAGGCAAGGATTACACAATGTAATCATGCCTAGACTCGAGGGGTGATGTCACGTATCGGGAGTCTGAAAGAAAGGGCCCACACTTGCTTGCATGTTACTTGCTTGGTTAAGCCAAGACAGTCTTGGGGGTTCGGGTTTGAAAGGCTTTGCCTGTCAGGTGCAGCAACTCTACGGCTTTGGGTTGAGGCCACATCGGCCCAGGAGAATCAAGTTGTCCAAAATTCCTTATCTACCCTGGCCCAGACCTGTGCCACAATGGAGGGTAACATGGAGACCTGAATGCAGTAACTGCCAATATTCATTAGTTGTTTCTGATCACACAGCTCTTGCAGGCACAAGATGCTCCAGGACAATTAGCCCAAGATTGTTGAAGGTACTGGGCTGTAATATGATTCAGTTGGCAGCAATATTATGTCATCTTAAGATTCAGTTCTGGAGCATTAAAGGCGTCAGGCCTTGGTGTTGCCAGCTAGACACAAAGCAAAAACTTATAGTCTTTGTTTAGCATCTCGTTTCATATCCCTTGTACTCCGATTACAGCCTTTTCAAGCCATTGTATGCTCCCACCAGGTAGAACAGGATCTTAGCCTTGACACTGCTGTGTCTCCACTGGAAACCGTGTGCCGCGCGGAGCCTTGCTGATAAGATACAGTTTAGAGGCTTGGGCTTAAAGGCAGAGGGCCAGGTTTATGGTCAAGGGTTAGGGCTTTGGGATTGTGAGTGCTTGGGCATGAAACCGCAAATTCTTGCCCACTGAGTTCATTCAAGCCCGTCAGGACCAACGAACGTACGCCCTGCACCAAGAGGTCAAGCGACTCGAGGACCATTGGTGGCATCTGGGAAGGTGGCTAGGAGAAGACTGCTCAAGGTGTAGAGATAGTGATGAGCTGCACGAACTCGTACACGCGCCCCTGGGTTGAGAGGATTCAGAATATTAACGCCAGCGCGCGGGGTTGTGGAGTTGCGGAGTTGGATTCATCTGAGGCATAAAGCAAGACAAGTGTATCCAACATACACTTCTGCACCGTACAGCTTCAATCTCAAGGCCCAGTGCCGAGCCCCAAACCTTGCGCTCCGGATGTTGAGCAGGAGTTTGACTGCGACAGCGCTGACAATGCAGCTTCTGCACGGCTGGGCGAGACTTAGTTCCAATACCCTTCAGGGTTTTGCCGTTGGACCTGGACATCAAAATTGGCACTTTCTGTCCTTTCGTTGCATTTTCAGGTCGAGCAGTTTGGGCTGTGGGGTGCAAGGTTTGGGTACTCAGGTTTCACAAACCTCTGTAGCTCCTGACTGAAGTCATCAAGTTTGGGACTTGTATACCCACCACGAGGCATCCCCACAATCTGCTTTCCCAACCCCTAAATGTTTGGTTCTGAAATTCCTACTCTAAGCCTGTAAGCCCGTATGCGTAAACCCTAAGACTCAACGCCCAAAACCCTAGATCCCTAAAGCCGCGAAACCGCAAACCTCTAGAACCCAAAGACCTTACCTGTAGCTTCCCCGAGCAGTAAGGAGCTCTACTGTGAGCTTAGTGACTCTGGCGCCGAGTCGGAGCAGGACCCTCAAGCTAAGTGCAGACATGTTTAGGGTTCAGGGGGTATGAAGTATGAAGCTTTCTGTGTCTGGGGTGTTTGTTTTAGGTTTCGCCTTGGGTATCGCGGTTTAAGGCTGTGGGGTTTGGGGTTGAGAGTTTGAACTGTTTAGCGTAGGGCTTTCAAGCTTACAGGCTCGTCGCAAGTTCAGGGTTTGATCGGAGTTTGAAAAGAGGGTTTCAAGCCGGATGGAGGCGAAGGAGTGCTCTGGGTTTTGCGGCTTAGTTTAGGCTGAAAACCCTCAACAATGTGTGACCGCGAGGAGTGGTGGAACCGCGCGAGCGCCCTGCTCCGAGGCTTAGGCTTCGAGGACCTTGGTTAACGGAAATGCTATTCACACAGTTTTTTCCAGTATGTGTCCTAGGTGGTGCTCAAACATTCCTTCTACGGCTGTTTCTAGATCTTGTATAAACATCATCCCCCTTATCCTGAGGAGGCGCAGACCACACAGCCTCTGTCGCAGCTCAGCGGTGGCTGGCGGATGCGAACTGCGATCGCTGCGGCCTTGTTCGTTCGTCCACGGCTGCTGATGTGGCTGGGCTTTGCTGGGACAAGCAAAGGGGTTGAGCGGGATTATAGGGCATTGGCTTGGGGCTACACTTCCGAGTTTGGAATGTAGTGGTCGTTTGGGAGTTTAAGGCTTGGTTTCAGGGTTCAGGATGTAGGCTTTAAGGTTCAGAGCTTTGATTTTGGCTTTGGGGTCTGGAGATGTGGTTTTAGGCAGGGCATGTACAGCTTGGATAGCCGTGATTCGGGGTTTGCTGAGGTGCCTCTTGCAACAGCCCACAGCAGGGAACTCGGAAGGCTTACAGTAAAGAAACTGCTGTCTCACCCTCGGTGGCCAAGCCCGGTCCCGATTCCTCTTCTTCAAGCCTTTGGGCACCAAGTCCTGAAACCGAGTAAACAACTCAGGTTGGACGAGCCTACGAACCATTTGGATCTGGGTGCAATCGACTGGCTACAGCAGCCTTCTGTCCCAAAATGCCAGATGGGGTTGGCAAGCCTTGTCGTTTGTCTTTAGGCTTGACTCCTGACCCGTACTTGGAGGATCATGGGACTTAGTAACTACTTATTACTGGGCTTATTACCCTACTTGTAAACTTATAGGCCTTCTAACAGTCTCAAAGGGCTTGCCTCAGCTGTAAGTGGGTTTAAGTCCCACGAACCTCCAAGTAGTGAAGCAGCCCTTCAGAAGACTTGTGGGGAAAATCGAAGAAGAACACGACGCGGCAACGGATTGTGTAAACTGGTTGAGTACAACCAGTGATTGGTCCGTTCTACCAACTGCCAAGCCCACGAGGGCGAGCCAGAATAGCTGTAATCTTGCTCCCAGGTATCTGGTGGAGGAGTACAAAGGGACGCTTCTTTGCGTCTCGCACAACAGAGATTTCATCAACCAGGCATGTTCTTGGGTGATATAGGACAATTCAGAGCAGCAGTTTGTGTTTGCGGTGGGGTTCCTGAAGAGCTTATGCTGCAGGGCAAGGCAGGTTTTGGGGCCCCTCATTTTTCTTTTTGAGTTGGTTTTCATGGATGGCAGTTTCTGCTTAGAGTTCTTGTGGAAGCTGGGCCTTGGCTAAGAATCTTCATTTCTTGTCTGCTTGCAGGTGGTGTTAGGTCTGTGTGCAATTTCTACTGGTACGTCTACTGTCATTAGGGACGGTGAGGCCTTCGCTTTGGGTTTTGTTGTTCCCTGCATGGTGCTATTGAGCAGTGATGCCAAAGATCGCAATGGCCTGTCTCAGATTACCACTGCCTACAAAGTCAGGGCTGTGCTATCAACGCCGTGTCACATTAAGCTAGATTAGTCAGTGCAGAATGCGGCAGTCAGATTTTCGCCGCTCCTCCCTGGTCTGGGACACGCCCGCCCACAACAGCAACCGTGATTAGACAACTGTGTACCCTTGAATAGCCCTTACTAGCAATTCAGAAATTTCATTCTGTTTTGTCATGTTCAAGGCGCTTGGAGGGTATATGTTGCAGTCCAATCCCACAAGCAGGTCTGCACCGATGTCATCATCTTTGCCGATCAGAGCTTGACCTACTTCTATGGCAGCCACGCATGAACTAAACCAAACACTTATCTTAGACTATCATTGTCCGTGATGGTCTGTATTCAGTGGCCCCTGGAAAACCGCCATTTCCGAAATTGTTGCTCTAGTCCAAGTGCAGCGCACGCACTCGAAAAGTACCGAATGATTTCTGGAGGGTTTCATAAGTCTTTTTGGAGGCCAGAATTCATGGAGTCTATGGGGAGTATGTAGGAAACATGTAGTTCGGATTTGGGATAACGGATTGTTTGCAGCCGTGTTGCCAGCATTTTGTAGATTCTGCTTGTGGCGGTTAGCGGGTCGGCAAACTGTGCATCTTGTAGCAGCGCATGACCTTGGCAAGAAGCCACAACCAAAAGCTCTTGACTCAAAGTCTCACGCCTTCAAGAGCTCTTATTTCCCCATAACATCCCCATGTGCACGAAGCCCTAAGGCCGTGTCTTCAAACTCTTGCCCTTTTGGTCAACCCTCACCTCAAAACCTTGAGCTTTGAACCCTAAACCCCGGATCCCAAGCCTGAAATTCCACTGAGCCAGAATCCTTGGAATCCCTTTAGATAAAGCCTTTTCTATATGTGGTTGTGTCCAGGGTATGGGGCCCTTTCCTCTGCACCTGCCCAACCTGAGGACCAAGAAGCCCATGAGTATAAAAGGCAGTTTGACTTTCAGCGGCCTCTATCCAATTCTCAAGAGATACCTGTAACACCAATTTAAGATATTCTTCTTACCCCTGAGAAGCTTTGTGCCCACCCTACAATGTAACGGGACAGGAGTCTTTGTGAAGCTTCCGCATAGCCATGGCTAATTTCGTGACAGGTCCAAGGCACTGGGGACACACATGACTCCGCCTGCATAAACCCTAAACAAAAAGCCTGAATTCTAGACGCCTTAGATCTTTACCTTCTCCCAAATTCGGAGCAAGGACCTTTGAGGCTCATGCTAATCTGAAGCTTGTGGTGCTTCTATACTGCTGCAGTAGAGCTGCTATTGATGCTCAGCCTTGTACAGCCTTTCAACAAGCATTGTTGGAGCCTTCCCCTACACCCTAAGCATGAATCATAAACAAAAGTGTAGGCCCTGAACCCGAATCCCGAAGCCTGCATTCCTATGTCCCTAATCCTAATCCCTAAACAGGGCCTTAAACCTCTGCAGACTTGAGAAACTCCTAAGCCCTCAGCTTTAAAGCCCAAGGCACTCTGGACATGTTCGAGGAAGCGGCCCAGGAGAAGGCCAGGCACCTCGAGCGCGAGGCCGGGCG